GAGTTAAACCACGACACATGCTTAGCATCTAGGCAACAAATTTTATCCTGCAGCTCTTCTTCCTGTATGTTAAAACATTTCCTATCATTTCCCAAGTATCAGCCTGATGACATGATGAGTTCAATCTGACCTGAACTGGCAAGTGGGTGTTCAGATCACCGTGCCTCTGACAGGGAAGCCATGTACCGACTTCAACGTTTGTGTCTGTTGGTTTTGCTCACAAATCAAGACACAAGACTCCAACACAGTGTTTATGCTGATCCTTCTACTGTGAGTCTTCAGGATGAAAAGACTTTTCTGCCTATGTTTGCCACTATCAATCTTGTAAAGCTCGTCACACTGCAGATTTCTGTCTGCCTTTATCAAGTACCCTCAGAGGATTATTTGGTTAAGTGTTTAGACTGGCTGATCCAGGAAGGAACGACGACTTTTTGAACCTTCTAAGGTTTCTGTAATATCTCTGTGTTTGTGTGATAAATCTCATGGGAACAGCAATCCTGGAAGCCTTGCTTCCAAATGAAAATAACGTAAAAGAAAATTTAGAAAAAGCTTTTACTACTCTATTCAGCTTCAAGACAGGTAGCTTCCCACCAAGGACTTGGTGTAATTTCCCAAAACCAAGCAAACAAAATACATGAAAAAAGGAAGCTAGTCACAATAGGAAAAACACCAAAGTAACATTAATACAGATAAACCATCAAGAACTATGACTTTAAGATCACAGAAATCCAAACTTATGACCTCAGACCACAAAGGCAAGGAAAATATTCTCCCTTTGGCAGTTTGGCAAGTCAGTGGACTAACATCAAAAACGTATGTGAGCTGATATATAAAGTTAAGGAACAAATCAGACGAGGAAACCTAGAATCAGGAACCATCAAATAAATCAAAGCTTAAGAAAGTTGTTATGAAGTTTTTCATATACGGAAGCAGAAATGGTGACAACAGAGCAGACCAAGGGATCACTGGGTTTCCAACTCACCGTCAGTTCTATCCAGAAGTGCCACGGTGTAGCCTGCAGCCCACGGGAGTAAAACACAAAGTAGTCCCCTCCTAGGCTAGCAACTGGCACACCATCCCCGAGACTCCAGGTGGACAGAGCCGACCCTTTATGTGGCCGAACATAGAGAGACATGTGACTTGGACCTGCAGAGACAGGGATATGCATCCAGACGTTATCAACGGGTGGAGGCAGAATAACCATCTGTTTTCCTGTATAGCAGCATGTTACCTGTGTGCTATTTGTGTCTTCCAAAACATGATACAACCATCATCTCTACAGAACAAGCTTCAATTATTTCTAAGATGTGAGATAAATGAGGTGATGATGTAGGGTAGGGACAAAGCTGTAAAATGGACTTTAAGAAAGGACTTGCTATAAAAGGATCAAGGCTTACTCAAAATAGACAAGGTTATCAGTCCCCCAAATAACAACTGCAACACCACACCACAGCTTCTACTGTGTTATAAAACTGAATTAATTCACGCTAATCTCACAAAGCTCACTATCTGGGGAATGGCACTAGAACCTGCAGCACTGGAGTGAAAACCTGATTTATTATGGGCATAAAAATAAAAAACAAGTCACAAACCATGAGCTTCAATCACTCACCAGACACTTCAAAGCTTAACCTCACAGAGTTCTGGGGCATCAGTTCCTTGGACAGAACTTTAAAGAGAACAGGGCTTCTTGGAAAAATTTCTGGAGCGGGAAGATACCAGTTTTTCCTGTTAAAAAAAAAAAAAAAAAAAAAAGAAGTCTTAACTTCTTCGCTTCTCATACTTAGTAACTCTGACTGTTGCACTGAGAATAAGTTGGTTTTGTATAGCATAGCTGTCCGTGCTGTTACTGAATTAAATATTCAAAAGCTACTAAGAAAGCAGGTAAAATTTGCAGCTTGAGGCTGGGCAAAAGCATTTAAGAGGCATATTAATTGAAAACCAGTCACCAGTGTGTTCATTCACTACTTTCATCTGCCTTAACTTACAAAACAATAAAATAAGTAAAAATATTTTCATCTTCAACTGCTATACTTTTGCTCACAAGCTTCTTGGGGGATGAGAAACAGTCACAGCAGTCAGTTTTCCTCTGTGGAGACCAGCTACTCAGAGTTCCTCTGCCGTCAGCTGGGGTGAGGTGAGGAAAGAGAGGACAAGACATACATAGTGCTCCTCCTCCTAACTGCCCTTTAGCAGTACCCCCCACCCCCTTCTCCTTTCTCCTCTACTGGTGCTGACATTAATTTTCCACACATCAACTTCTACAGCTCCGGCAGCAGACCCAGCAATCTCTTGCAGAGATCCTGGCAGAAGACACTGCACTTAGACAGAAGTTTAAGTGTCTTCTGAAGTGGAAGGATTATTTACTTTTAGACCAAGAATAGCCTTACTTTTTCTTCCCTTACATAAGCACGGCGGCATAAATGACTAACGTGCTTTGGCAATAAGTGCTCAAGCGAAGGAGTGTTCTCACCAACCGGAACATGAAATGCACTGGCAGAATCCAAGGAAGGCCACAGAAAGGAGCCTGCTCCTCACACGGAGTTCTAATGGTGTCATTGATTTCAGGTACATGGGGAGTTATGTGAGATATTCCGTTATAATCAAATCCATTAATCCATATACCAGAGTCACTTTTAACCACATTTCCATCTAGATCATGAAATCTTCTGACTGTGTGCTACAAGGTGGTTTAAAAAAAGAAGAGAGACACATAGAAAGATGATGGAGCCTGCTAAGTTTGCAAGAGTCCAAAGTGATTTCGAAATAGCCTCCGTGTCAGTCTTTAAGGTCTACTGCATTTTCAATATGCACTGAACACGTCTGAGTATTTTATCTTACTCAGATAAAAGAAATGTAACGTAAAACACCTACATTCAGAAGATGACTGTGCCTGTACGTACTTGCTCATCTCCTGTCACTTTCACTTTTAAATTATCGTTGCTTAATCAACTCTCCCACTGAAAACCCTCTAAAGAAACCATACTCTAACACTGATGAACTGAACATGGAGATGGAACAAGAGGAACATTATCAATACTTTCAAATCCAGGAATAATCATTAGAGCTTTTAAATTAATCAAAAAAGAGAAGGTTACTCTTTGGAGGCAGGGGGAGGAGGTGGGAGGAAGGTTATGCTTTGGAAAAACCAAACAATCTTGCAACCAACAGAGGCAATGTGACATGCAAGGCTTTTCTTACCTGGAGAAAGACTCGCTTAGGTTTTGGATTAGCTGCATCAGAACTGTAAGGAAAGAAGATCCCACCACAGACGAGAATCAGAGTGACTACAGACACAGTAGTTAAAGTTATTAGTGTCGTTTTTGTGCTTTTGACAAGGTAGACGAAGTTAATCTAGGGAATAAAAAGAGAGCTCAGTTATAATGCAGACTTAAGTAGTAAGACACTATTCATATAACTTTAAAATCCAATTTTGGAACAGAAAGTACATTAAAAGGGTATCATTGCAAGTACCACCTGACACATGACGCTTCTTTGTAATCTCAGTATTTAAAACCAAAAGGAATGAAGTGAGTGCTTCCTGGAGCTTCCAAAAATTTCCTATTTGTTACAAACATATGCCAACAAAAACCCAGACCTTTGTAGCAAGGGCAGCAGGAAAAAAACAAACAAACAAAAAAAAGCCAAACCCTTGCACAAAAATCTGAGAATTTTTATTTGAAGTGTAGTATATATATTTTTTAGCCACGTACTACACTTTGCCTAAAATTAATGACTGTTCAAACTTCATCACTGAATTACATTTTACACCAATCTTTACTACCTCATCACAGAGCAGAGATATTTTTGTAATCCTTGTTTCAATGGCTTTGACTAACACGAAACATGGAATCTTTGACATGTTTCCTAGACATCTCCTGTAACATTTAATATATTGTAAAATTACCATTAACGTCAAGCATTAATTTAGAAAAACATTCATTCAAAAAACTCTCTCTAGAGAAAGTTTAAAAGCTTTAAACAACGTTTAGAAATTCTACTTACAAAACAGGATGACAGAATCAGAGTCATGACCACAATAAATCCTGCCAACACCACATCTGGTAGGATTTCTGAACCACTTCGTCCCATGATAGGTGTGAACATTTCAAATACAGCCCAGCTAAGATACATCATATACAAATAAGGAACGAACATTCCCAGCATGTACATCATGAGAAACTTCACTGTAGCACCTGTAGGGGACAGAAATACATAAAAGCTTAAAAGGACATACACAGGGCTTTACTAATATATCCATATACTGCTGCAAGGCTCAGTACGCAATACTGGTCCTCATCCCTGTAATTCTGCATAGTCAATGCCAACAGAACTCTATCACAAACACCACAAAACTGTTCTTGTATTACAAAAAACCATTTAAACAGGTGTTCTGTCACAAACCCTATTTAAATATTACAGTATTTTTAACAACTTTTACTGTCCATCAAAATCTCTGATCACTTATTAGCAACCCCACATAGTATTGTTCCTTTCAGCCTGAGATGTGGGATGTTGGTTTTGTTTGTTTATTTGTTTGTTTTAAGAGCTTCTCCATACTTTCAAACTGTCTGTAGTTCAAGAACAGGTTTTCTTGTTACAAAAATGTCTCATGGTTACTATGACTATTCAAATTCAAAGTTTGGCATTTCTTTTGCTTAAATAATAGCGTTTAGAGGAAAAACACTCAATATGCAGTAGAAGGAGCAGATGTTTCAAAATACAACCACCCCACCCCCTTGTACCTCTTTGGCTGAATTCTTTATGGATCATCAGCTTAGTGAATAAAGTAAATGCTACCCACAAAGTACAAATGAACGCTGAACAAAGGCCCATCTGAGTAATCACAGCCAATGCTATAGACCAAATCATCAACGAGGCATCATAAAAAGTATCTCCCAGGTACTGCTCACTCACATTCTGTAACAAGAAAAGCAAAACTACTCATTACTGAGCATATTCCATATATCACACCTCATGAGAACACATAGAAAAATCCTTATTTCTTGTATATAATTATTTTCCTTGGACAAAATGATTTTGACCGGCACCATCTCACCATTCTCTTACCATTTAGAGTTATCTATGACAGTACACTTTTTTTTTTTATTTGTTACATTTGCTCTGACACGGGCTGGCGTGCAGGGAAGGGAATGTACAAGCGTCAATGCCGAGGCACCACCTCGATTTGTTTTTGATACAAAGCCATTAAGCTGTCATCTAAAACACAGGGGATTGTTATGACCTGTAATTATGACATTATTATGCAAGTTAAAAGGTATTGGTTATTCCATTAAAAAGAATTCTAAGAAAAAAGGTACATAGACAGTAATCATGACGAATGACAGCAATGGAAAGGTAACACACACCAGATCCTTGCCAACCCTTGCAGGGGCCTACATGACCTTCACCTATTGCAGAGAAGAGCATGGACTATCAAGAGCCCTGTTCCACCTCCAGCTGTGGTCAAAACAACTAACAATCGAATAATCATACAGGAAGGGTGACTACCCAAATTTTTACAACAGCTTCATTTAGAAAGCTCTGTACAGCACAGATTACCATATTAGAAGATGGGAGGACCGAACTAGAAATTCTGATAGATGTAAGAAAAAAGCTTATATGAACCATCGGAAAAAAAATATATCCTATTATTTGCTTAGAAGGTTAAGAATACAAATGACACCACCAAAACAACCTGCACAGTAACGGGACAGAATAAAACAGAGAACTGGAATTCCAAGTTTCACAACAAGATCCAAGCATTAAATTAGATTAAATACAGAATAAAAATATTAAAATATACAGAAGGAGGTACTGTACCTAAATAAATTATTGAATTTAGCGAACCTGTCACACAAGTACATTCAGAGGCAAGAATCTGGTAAGATTCGAAGAACATTCAAGTATATATTGAGATACTGTAAAGAACATAGGAAGGTATCAAAAAACCTGAATTCTCCAGCTGTTGCTCTGCTCTCTTATCACTGATGTGATGGCAAGAAGGGAAGGTGCAGACAGGGAAAGAAACAGTACTTTGCACTGTATTCTACTCAGCTTTCGCCTTTTTTTATAAAGTAGCTCCTAAAGGTCATTCGTAAGGAGAAAGCCCTAAATCACGAAGCTCTTAACTCTCTGATTCAGCAGAGCAAACCCTATGCTTAGCTGAAGCAATTTTTACAGCAACACTTGAAATACTTCTGTCCAATACAGGAAAGTTTGTGCACCTTATTAATCAACTAAAAAATCAAGTCTTCCACAGATTAAACACTACATTGGCCTTCCAACATCAACAACGAAGTCAAACGTACCTTGTAGAAAAACTTCTTGGCTAGGGTATGCACAAGAATGATTGTAGCTGCAGCTGCACTGCCGTACAGAAACACAGACACGTAGAAATGGGTGTACCAAGAAAGAGACCGTCCAATGACGGAGACAAATGCTGCCACTGTAAGGACTGTCACCAGTGTGCAGACCCAACTCATCAGTGTTAAGCCAAAAGCAGTAAAGAGCTTCTTCAGGTTATAAATAGCTATAAAGAAGAAAAAAGAAGTTTAATTCAACAGTTGTGTATTCTACTGCAGACTATCATCAAGGTTGTAATTACCCCACCATATGATTGCTTTAATGACCAAAATAAAACTGCATGAGGAGTTCACTGTGAAGATTTCTTACCAGCATGGTCTAAATCATTTTGCAAACAGAGCTGCAAAGAAACAGGCAAGATTTATTTCCAGAGTACTACTGTATCATGCAGATTACCATGTTCTTGATAGTAAGAAATTCTCTAGGGAACCAGTGGAGCCGCTCTACCATCTATAAAGTCTCAACAACAAAAATTGGAGTTCCCTTTTTGTAAATTTTTCTTGCTCCAAAAACGTTTGCTGGATTTTGGGAGGTGGGGGTGGGATAGTGTTTGGTTTGGTTTCTTTTTTTTTTTTCTTGTTTGTAGGAACAGGTATGTTCCCACACATAACTGAAAAGGTGAAAAGGCCTAACTAGAATATTTGTTTTACAGCTTTGCTTACAATTTGTTATCTTTTTCCCCATTTGCTGTTTTCTTATTTGCTTCTGCCTATGGACGGGTGTTAAAGAAACATGATTCTGAAGCCCTACCTGTGCTAACAGAACAAAGAGTTTATATACATACTAAGCACAATTTTTTTTTCCATTTTCAGATCTTTAAATGATTTAATCTTTATCAAAGGATGAGAGGCCTAAGGAGGTGATTGGGGACAGCCAAGATGGCTTCACTAAGAGAAAACCTTGCCCGATAAATGTCGTGGCCTTCTACAACGGGGTTACAGTGTTGGTGGATAAGGAAAGAAAAACCGACATCCCTCTGCCTGCACTTGTGCAAAGCATCTGACAATGTCCCTCGTGACATCCTTGTCTCTAAACTAGAG